CGTGCCCTAGAGTCAGCCATGACTGGACTTAATGTCAAGGGGAAACCTTTACCTTTACCTTTACAATAGTTTCCAACCATTCTGAGCTGAATGGAGAACCATGTGGGCTCCTTTGTGTTTTGAATAATTGGGGGCAATAAAATGATTGGGACATGAATCAGAATATAAGATTGAACCACAGGGCAACGCCTTACTAGTGATGGTGACAAAGAAGCCTTACTTCACCACCATCCTTGTGTCTGCATAGTGTGGACTAGCAGGGCTATTTCAAATGATAGGAGCCGCCTTCCTGTGGGACCAGGGTTTTAGAATGATTTATTTTCAGCCCTTACTTCAAGATGTAGTTCCATGCTTTCAGCTAGATTTCTGGAATTGGTTTAGCATTTACCCGAGGCCAATGTAGTGCAACAGGATTGCTAGTTTAACCAGCAGCTGGCCAGAAGTGTTGACAATGAAAACATCTGAGAATGATCATCATGTTCATACATCATGAGAAATCAGGATTCCTGACTTGCTAGTTTACAGTCATGATTTATTTAGGAGCAGGAAACCAAAGCTATTATGTCCCTGTTTGTTTCACCCCTGTGTGGGAAGGCAGTGGCAAATGGACTGTGTACAACAACGCACTGCTTGTTCACAGTAAGCCAGAATAGGCCAGGAAACCTGGTTTATTGTTATGTGCAAATGCTGTGCTACAGATATTGCTAGAAGCTGCATTATCATAGGTCAGCTTATGCTGATTCCAGGAGGGACAAATATTTCTGCTAAAACATAGCAAAGCTAGCCCTGCAACCCGTCACTATGGTAACCATGCTGTAGCTTCAATGTTCCCATACCTTTTCTTCCACTAGCCTGTGTTTCAGCTGGCTGTCCTTGCATAGAACTGTTTTAAATAAAATAAATAAATAAATAATTGTGCAAAATACACACTGCTACATCTGCATTGCTTCTGTATGGTAGCAATACCAATATGCATATTTTCTGTGAGTTTAGAGCATGCTTTAAACAGACAATTTATGAGAGTTGAAAATGAGCAATCCTCCTCCAGTGGGGACAAGCAGCAAGATTTTTAGCATGGCACCGCTCTCTGCTGTGTGATGCAGTGTATTTAGAATTTGGTGACCGTGGGTTGTGGGGAGGACGTGGTCAGGACTGCAGAGCAGACAGAAGTCAACGATGACATCTGCATTTTAATACCTTCACTTCCACTTGGGCAGGAGCAAGGCAAGAGCCTGACAAAGCACGCAAATCTTTAAATAGGAATATGATACGGGACAGTCCCACAGCAGCATCACCTCTCTGACAGCAGAGACATGCCCGACATTAACGCTGCGCCTGTAGTGAAGATGGGGGAAGAACATTGCACATATCATGCAGGTCAAGTGTACGGCAGACTTGTGGCTTTGAACTCTTCGTAGATAAAGCTAATCTCTCTCTCTTTCTCTACTGCTGGCTCGCTCATTAATGCTATAACCCTGTGAATGTGCCTAGACAATAAATGTCATTTCTTAGCCAAGTTATATAGATTTCATTCTTTTTTACACCACTCTGTGTGGCTCAGCCACCCAGAGCACAGGCATTCATCATTTTTATTACACACCTCTGAACTTCCTTCACTTTATCTATGGTTTTTGACAGCAAAGCATCCAGAACCACATGCAGTATCCCAGATGGATTCCCCCCAGAACTGTAGATGGTGGGATACTTCCTTTGAGAAGAAGAGCAGTTCCCTTTGTAACATTTTCTATGTGATTATTGGCAAAATTATCACAGTTTTCTGCTTGTAGTTCTCCATTGCAGCACATACCTAATGCCACCTAATAAGCAAAGATACAGCAGACTCAGGTTAGGTGTGTGTGTGGGTTAATGCAGCACTTTTTCTGGCATGAAACTTGATTTCTAGATATTAATTAAAGAATGTCACTCATGGCGTTCTGAAAGTGGAAGTAGCAGGGTTAAGAGCCTTCATTTCTCAGAAGAGTGGCCTATGGATGGTTCCAAGGCAGCAAGCATCTGGTACACTGAATTCTGACTTGATCGCTTACGCCTGTAATCCTTTGCCCACTTTACCTAGCAGTTCTATTGATCTCAATAGGGCGTCCTTCTAAGTAGCCACCTGTAACATTGTTCAATAAGCAGAGATAATCTAAAGTTCTTAGCAAAGTTGAGACTTCTAAAACAAGATGAATAGATGGGGGACATAATCATCTAGAGATGCAAGAAAGAAAGAAAATCATCAAAAATAACAGAAAATCCGCATATGTTAATCGTGTGTTGAAATTGCAAAATGAGGATATAGATAACACAATAAATAAGAACATTTAATAAATTTCATAATCTGATTCTATCTCTTCAAATTATACAAAATATTCATAAGCCATCATCTTAATAATAACAAATACTGTAAATTTACCACTTGTAATAACATGCAAAAAGCTGGTGACTTCTGCCTTGAAAAATGTGAAAAATACCCTTAGAGAAGGACATATTTTTCCAATATCCAAAGATAATGATACTTTTCTTAAAATTGTAAGCATTCTTTTTAAATTATAAAAGTTGGCTCCTAAAATATTTGTAGGCCCATCATTGGTTAGTCCGTATATCATGCTGACTTTATGTACATATCATGCTTGGTTTGTCTCTTTTAACTGTAAATATGAAGGCCTGGTTTTTAAAATCGGCTTAAGAAAGATCCATAAACATTATGCCTTTACAAAATCCCCAGGACTCATCATCATCATCATCATCATTATTTTAACATGGTGTCACTACATTAAAAATAGGCTATCAGAAACCGCAGACATACTCACTTAACCCCTCAGATCCCCCAGATATTAAGGAGACATTCAAATGTTTAAAAAGGGAGAGCAGCTATTTGCCACGGTGAGGGAAGGGCAAGAAGTTAAATAGAAGTGCAGTTAACAGCTGTAGAAAGGGTACGACATTCCTGGCAGAACAGAACTCAAATATTTGGAGTTGGATTTTGCTTTAGGACCACCTCCTCCAGTGACTCTTTTTGTAGATTAATGTCTTTCCTAACTGGTGAAAATAAATACTAAAGTACTTAAATGTGGAGTTTATAACAGAGCAAGAAGCCAAGAAATACAATATTCAGCTAGATGTGGAGGAAGAGGAGGAGGAAGATAAGGGTCTGCTGTGTGCCTGTTCTCAGCAGAGGCTCTGTGGATAATGCCTTGTCAAGGAAATACTTTTACCTTTTAGCAGACAGAGGCAGCAATTGGTTCCAGTGTGCAGTGATTTAAATCAGTGAATTAAATCACCAAGCAGAAAGCTGTGGTTTAAAGCATTAATTTTAATCAAGTTTTCTGTTTAAGAAAAAGTGAGCCGATCCATAATGCAGGGTGACTGAAGTAGTCTGACAAAAGCTGTAGTCTTTTTGCCCTGGGTCAGAGTCAGGGACTGCCCAGTATGGCATCTACTCCCTCAATCACAGTTCTGAGGTGACCACAACTGGACTGCATGGCTCGGATTGTACCACGGGGTCAAAGTCCACAGATAAATGCTGCCGTTACCATCACACAGGTAGGTAATGCCTACTACTGCTACTACCCCCCCCCCCCAATTAGGTAGGGGACACCTAGAAACCACCAAACCAAACACCTGGGGCTGATGAGAGTCTAAGCACATGTGTGTTTTCTGAATCACTGTGCAGCCATTTTAGTCTATGTTTTTTCCTGAATATCATGGGACCATAGTGGTTTTTACACAAACATTCTAAAGTTTAGAATCTCGACTGACCCCAACAGAACCAAAAGGAGAGACGTGTCTTTAAGGCAAGTCAGAAACCACATAAAATGAAAAATTTAAAAGGGAAAGGAAAATAGGTTTCCAAGTAAAATATTGTCCCTGTAATAAAGCAAGACTATTATTTACTACATTATTATCCTGCCCTTCCCCTCAGGGAACTGAGAGCCCTTCTTTCTCCCATCTCCCCTTTGTCCTCAAAATAACTATGTGAAACAGGTAAGAGCGGGAGATTTTGATGGTACTCCATCATCCAGTGGGTTGCATGGCTTAAGAGAAACCTGAATGTAGATTTCCCCCTCCTTGTTCATCAATCTTACCACTGCCCTACACTGAACAGACTCCTAAATGCAATCACAAGCCCATTTTCCAAACAGGTGTACCTAATTTCATAAAAGAATTTGCTTCCAACCTGGCCACACATATCACTTAGCTGATCAGTTCAGTAACTGGCAATTGAAGATTGTTGAATCCATCCAACTCATGTGACTTTGGGCCCGTCATAGCATATTTGGGCCCATGAAGCTGTGAGAAGCACCTGATTAGCCATTCGTCTCAGAAGATGAGGACAAAGTAAGCAATGCATCTTTCTCCTGTGGGAGGCATGTCAAACCTGGATCCTGCTAAAGACATCTTTTATTGGCTTTAAGGGGTCGTTATTTATTTAATTTCTATACCATCCAACAGCCGAAGCTCAAGCTGCCAGGATTCAGCCATAATAGCAGCTGCTCAATTCAAGGGAAGGAATTGTGCAAAGAAGATTAATGGGATCTGAATTCATATTTTCTTGTCCCTGTTGGTTATGTGGATCAGGGACATCAAACTTCCAGCCTGTGGGTCTAACATGAAAATAGGATGTGGAATATAACAGATAGTTGAAGTTCAGTTTGGTTGGAATTTGGTTCCCAGGCAAGTCAAGGGAATAATACATTATCGAAGAGAATATTTTCTAAATCTACATCCTATCTATAGAAAAATAAGATTGACAGGGAAATAAATGGGAAAGGATTCTGAGGGGAAACACTTTTACAAGTGAAGAAATTTCTTTGAAGGTTCTGTCTTTATATAAAGAAAGGCGGATTTTTATAGTTCATGTTCATGCACACTCAGTATAAAGGAAGGAACAATGGGCAAGATCTAGCATGGATGCAAATGCAGACTGAACCCTAAGAGAAAGGAAGAGGTCACTGTAGAGAAGTAGTGTGACTCCAGTGTCTGGTGCCACTCTCTTACAGGCTCCTTAAATCTCTTGGTTCACGTGAAGAATAAACAGCCCACTCAAGCCTTGTCACTCAAAGGGGATAGAGGAAATACCTGGCAACAAGCACATGTACCTATCAACCCTGCCGGACCATTCCAGGTAAGCAGTTATTTGGGGACCTAGAGGTCAAGTGCCACCTCACACAGGTGTCTGGCATGGATTAGCAGGGCCAATGGAAGAAATGGCCCCAAAACCTGTTCCCTTGTTTGGTGGTGGCTGTGAAAAAAAAGCCAAAGTCAGAGAGTTCTTGAGAGCTTATTCATATGCAGGTTATTTCTCTCCTGAATGGCCAAAGAGTGTTGAGGAGCACCAAGTTTCGATCTGCAACATTTGCTCAAGAGTAATAGACCTGTTATTGGCCTCCTGTTATAGGCTAGCTTGTGTGCCGTGCCTACATTCCCCCAACTATGGTTCTCTGTGGCGGCACTGAAGCTTGTGAATACTGATGTATGACTTGAGCAGTTGCTTGTGACAACTGTCACGTACCTAGTGCCCTGTCCTTGATGAATGGGTGTGATTGTGGCCGGATGTAGATAGTAGAAGACAGTCTTCCCCAACCTTCTGCCGCCCAGACACATTTGGACTGCAACACCCAGAATTCCCAGACAATGGCCCTGCTGGATGGCTACCAGGTTGGGGAAGGCTTTTATAGGAGATCCATGGCTGCTGCCCAAAGCATCAGTCTTGCAGTGTGGTGTAGTAGTTAGAGTGTTTGGTTGTGATCAAGGAGACCTGGATTCAAGTCCCCACTCAGTTGTAAGCTCACTGGGTGATCCCTCACCAGTTCATTGCTAAGTATCATTTCCGCAGCAAGCAATACACCATAGTTCCTTGCTGGGCATCTGCTTTGCTTGAACAAGGTTCACTCCCTGGCATCTCCAAGCAGGGCTCAGAAAGACTCCCTAAAACCCTAGAAAAATGTTACCAACACACTGGGCGTAAGGGATCCGTATAAGACTGCTTCCCCCATGATAATACCACACATGCAAGTGGGACAGCAGCAAAGTTGAGCACTCTCATTCGGGGTTCCCACCAGACATTCTGTTTGCCAGGATGGTGTCACACTTGGACCATGTTTGCTACTAGGTTATAGGATGGTGTGATGTCACTGAGCTTCCAGGTGAGCAGCCCAAGGTGCGCAAACAGCAAGGTGCAAGGTAAGGTGGTAGAACATACAGTTCACTGATGCCATGCTGTACAGTGAACATTGCTAGATGTTATCGGGAGTAATGAGGAGAAAAGCTAGAGTGATTGCTTTCAGAAGCAAAGATGTTCCCCATAATGTCTCATGCCAGCATTGGGCCTTCCTTATGAGCTAGGCACATTTGGTGTTCATAATGTATCCTTATTTCACTGATTCATTGTAAATTCCATGGTTAGCGACAGGATGCCTCCAATAGCATCTGCTTGGGGTGACTAGTGTGTGGTCAGAGTCTAAGGATTGTATTGTATTTCTAAGTGCTGATTTAGTATCAGAACCCTGCAAGTGGGACCCTAGAATCTCCCAGTGTAGCAGCAGAGGCAGCCGGGGCTTCCATTTCTCCCATTCTGAGATTCCTTGGGCTGCAGAGATTCCGCACTGCAGACTCCAGCTGTCCTAAGAGAACGGCCCTTCTCTGTTCTCAAAGGATTATGGCAACTCAGGGGCTGGGTGGGGCTAGGGACATGATAGGAATGTCTCTCAGCATCTAAGGCAAACCACAGGTCCCAGGAACCTTTTGGGCGCAGCCATAACTTTGCTGTTTTTACACTTTGTTGTAAACCTCCCAAAGAGCTTTGGCTATGGGCGGTATAGAAATGAAATAAATATTAATAATAACTATTGCACAGGCACAAAACTGATACAAGTTTGTGGTGTTGTGCTTGAGAACATGCAAGACCACACACTTTTCTTACTGTGACCATTTCCCTCTGAGCACTACAAAGCCCACAGGTGTTTGTTCCTGGAGAGTTCGCTGTGAATTTTATGCTCTGCCTCTCATTTTCTTTGTTTGGTGAATGATTTCCTACAAATGCATGTCTGTGGCACAGCAGTATGCGTTCGTTTTGTTTTTACTTCGCTCTGAAGTGCATAGCATGCTTTTGGGTGCCATAAAACAATAATCTAGTTACTTGTGAGTGTGCTGTTCATTGCTTGTAGCTCAGTTACTGCTGTGTGCTTAATGACAACAGGGATGGGCTACTAATTTGTTATCACTCAGTTGCTTATGAGCCTGCTCTAGCATATATTGCTTTGACTCGCAGGCTAGGCATGGGCTTCATTTCTGTGGTAATGTTTCTGAATCCTGGACCATTTAGACTTGACAGTGATGGGAGCATAAACAGCAATGCTCATGAACACTGGTTTCCAGATGCACGCATTAATGTTGCCATTTGGAGATGTGCCATGAGCTTATACAGAGCCAAAAAAAAAAAAGTTTTCTTTCTATCTAGCCCATCTGCTTTTTGTCAAGCCACAAGAACTGGAAACAAACCTGGAACATTTTCAAAAGACTGCATCAAGTGGTCTACAAATACACATAAGTTTCTGCGTTGTTCTTCTACCTTATGTTTCAGGGACAGTAGCATAATACTGTGTTTGTACAGAACAGAGAGGAGGAGAGACATGAACAGAAAACAATTTTGCAGTGAAAGAATTAAGGTTTCAATCCCATATCTATTTACCTGGAAGTGAGGCCCAGGGAATTCAATGGGAGCTACATCTGAGCAGACAAGTATAAGATTGTGTTGCAAGAGGAACAACCATTTAGCTGTTTCCCACTATAACAACATAAACAACAACAACAAACATCTGTCTAGATGTGCATTCTTGTGCAGGAGAAATAGAGTGCCTCAGATAAAGTTTAAAAATAAGCTACAAGATCCAGAAACCAGTGAAGGCAGGGAGAAGGGGGACCGTGTCTCACATCAGCAAGGACATCACAAACAGTGATCAGCAGCTGCCTATGGCCGGCCAATTCGGCATGATGATCACAGGGCCGACAGGTGTGTTGCTTTGGAGAAAACCCAGCATTTTCCCCAGTACAAAATAAGAATCTCAGACAGTGGAAACAACAGAAATGCTGCCCTGTGCAGACAGAATGTGGACACTGAAGATTGGAAACAAACGCACATTTAGCACACACAACTGTTAAGAAAATAGATCCATCCCTTTTGGTGAAGAAAACAAGCTACCTGAGCACAAAAAGTCCGACTGTTGCTTTTTACGCGCACACATGCCCAGGAGAGATGCTGGAGGAACTCTGTCCCCATGAACTCGCCTGATCCATACTGTCCAGACTAATCTGCAGATCAACCAGATTTTCCACTTCTATGAAAGTTGCAGTTATTACTTATTTTTATTACATTTCTATCCCACTACTTTTGCTCTTGCAAGGAATATGTGACCCCTCCCCCCCTTCTCTATCCTCACAACAGCCGGATAAGGTAGGCTCAGCTGCCGGACAGTGACTGACCCAGTCACCCAGTGAGCCTCGTGGCCGAAAGAGACCTGGAACCCAGATCTCCCAAGACCAAGTTCAGCCTTCTATGCACTGCACCACACTGGCTGTCAGCAATGTTCTTGATGCCAAAAAAGTACCAAAATGCATTGAACGTTTGTATTTTCAGATAAAATAAATGGAAAATGTCTTTTTGCGGAAAATGCATGCATATGTTGTAAGGAATGTACTGAAAAATTAGAGATGGGGAGAGTTTTATTTGGTTTACATTTGAATTTAAAACATTACCAAATTCATCCTCTACCATATCTGTACTCAATCTGGTAGGCAGTTATCCTTCAAGTGCAAACATAATTGTAAGTATTTGCAAAGTGGCATGATAAGACCCAGTGCATAGTAGCAGTTAGAGTGTTGGTCTGAGCCTCCAGAGATCCCAGTTCTAGTTCCCACGTGGCAGTGAAGCTCATTGGGTGAATTTGGGCCATTTACAGCGTGTTGAGACACTGTTGCTAAGCTGTAAAGGCCTGCATGGGCCTGCAGCTGGTTGGGTGACCCCCTTTGGAAGTGGAACAAGAGGTTGGACCTGATGGCCTTATAGGTCCCCTCCAACCCTAATACTATTGTATTCAACCCTGCAGGACTGTTGTTGTGAGGGTAAAATGGAGAGCTGGAGGACTATGTAAGTAGCCTTAGGTTTCTCACAAGAGACAGCAAGACAGGGTATACATTTAATAAATAAAGAAAATATCTTGCAAAAATGTATATATTGGGTACAACTGTGTAGGAGAATCCTTATACATTTACACATTTTTGTATGAGCTTATTTTTAAAATAATGTTGCAAACTAATGTGCAAACAGGAGTGAAAGAACTGGTTGAAAACATGTGAAACTGAAACAGGCATGTTTGTTCATATCACCAGTGCATGCACGTGTGTGTATGTGCACATTTGCAAATATAATTAGGCAGATTAATGTGGAAACGGGACAGGATGGATTTAAGAATGAACACATGCAAAACTGCTATGGAGAGGAATTAAACTGATCTGTCCCTCCCTGCTTCCCACTCCAAGAGCCCCAACCCTCTTCTGCAGGCCCTCTCCCATCACCTTCCCTTTCCTACCATCACGCTGAGACTTCTCCTTAGCACTCTGTGCTCTCACCCCTTTCCCCTTAGCAGTGCTGCTTGCGGCTCCATCCCATACCACACCCCCTTTCTCCTTACCGCTGCCACGTTGCACCCCTTTGCATGTTGTGCCCACCATACCCATTTCCACCCCTTCCTGCTGCCATGTCGTGTCTCTTTCCCTTTCCTGCTGAGTCACAGAACTAGAGCTTGGGAAAGCAAAGCCCAGCAGGCCAAACTGCACGGCTCCAGGGCAGTTCTCCTGCCGAGCCTGCATGGGAAGTTGGCCCAGGAGGTCGCCTGGCCTGCTGAAGAGCCGCACCAGCTGCATCCTCATCTGATACGGCTTGGCAAAGGGCAACTGTTCTGGGGAGTCTGACTAGCCACCTCGCTGCCACAAATGCCATGTCAGAAGAGCAGCTGGCAGGACTCCTCACAGCACCCACCGGAGGCCGTGGAGCATCCTTCTAGCACCAATTTGGGGGGCTTCTTCCATTCTGCTACTGGAGGCAGGGGCTTCAGCCTGCCTCGTGGGAGAGCAACCTGCATAAGTGAGCAGATGTGATTAGGCAAATAGAGACCATGGTAGGAGGAAGAGGGAAAATCTCAGAGACTCTTTGACATAGGAAGTCACCCTTTCCTCCTCCTTTCTTAAGTCTCAGATTGCCACAGCGGGAGGAATAGGAGAGCAGCAAGGCAAAACCTTACCTTGAGCCTGTGGACAGCACTAGCTGGCTTTGTTCAGGGCTTTCTATCACGTGAAGATGGGGAATGGCAGGCGTGCATCCTTCTCTTACATAATGGGAATGAATGCAGAGGTTGGCTCTGCTCCTGAGGGAATGGGAGGTGACGGAGCCCCTGCCCTAAGCTGCCCGTAAAGTAGTGTAACCATGGGAACTGCACGGGTGGCACAGGCTAATGAAGCTGAAGCTGTCAGGCTTCAAGGATGAAGGAGTCCCCTGTGATTCCAAAGAAGGACCGAAGGAGAGACACAACTGCGGGCTTCGCACAGGTGGGCTAGAGATACGTCAGCCCGGGAGTGAGCATTCCTCCTCAAGCACGAACTAATGAATCCGCTTCCCTCACTGCTTCCTTAGTGCGTTGTTTTGGTGACCGTCCTGACCTAAAGCACGGGACAGGTAGCAAAATAGTAACAGCCAGTTAAAATTAGGCTCTTATATTACTTATGAAAAATGCTTAAGTTTTGTCAAGACTCCAGAAGAAAAGCTTCAGTCTGATGTAATTACAGAATGAGGTAGATGTCTGAGTTGGCAGAATTCCGAATAGTACGACTTCAGGCTGCAGAAACAAACCTTTCCTGCCTGAGGTTACTTACTGCATCAGACGGAAAAGTACTGTAGAGCATCTTTTGTTACATATAAGAGGAATGTATTTTTATACATAATTGCACAAGAGGAGCAAAATGAGAAGCAAAGATTTTTTTTAAAGTTCCAAAATTTGCTGTCAGTGATTGTCTTTTCCTTTGCGGCTTTTTCAAACATTGCATTTTCATCGGCATAACCATGCTGGCTTCCATTTTTCCTTCAGAATGTCATGAATTCCCACCATGTCTATGATGTTTGGGGAGCAAAAACCGGGTGCAACCAATTACAAGTCACTGATGGGAGCTCCTAATTGCTATCATTTTTCAAAAGAGAAAGAAGTATCCTCTCCTGCTCCTTTTAGCAAGCTCAAACTTATGGGCTGTTTTAACAATGCCCTGTCTCCCCATTGCCCCCCAGTTTTGGAGAGCTATTTTTGCACCTCTCCTCAGTTTGAGCCAGATTTCTTTACAGAGAACTGTGAGCTCAGCACAAGTTTAGATGCCTAAACATCTAAATGTCTTTTATTATACAGAAAAAGTAGAACCTTTTGAAAGGTGGGAAGATAACAGAGGACAGGAGGAGACAAGGAGGCTCAGAAAGTAACTATGACAGAAGAAGAGGGAAAATAAAATAGAACCTACTATGGTTAAACCAAATAATTAATCCTGGAAGAAGTGAAATCCAGGGAAAGCATCTGTGCAGCACAATCCTATGTGTGTTTACTTTAATGATCTGTGGACTTACGCCCAGGTACGTGTCCACACAACTACACACCTAGGAGTAACCCCCACTAAATTCAGTGGGGCACATTTCTCAGTAAACAAGCAAAGGATTGTGCTGTATCTTTGCTGGAGATGCGATCACATGACATTGGGTAACATCAGGTTTCAATCAGCCCACCTTTTTCATCACACCTTTGCTCTTATCCAGCTCATCCCTTGATATGTTACTGAACTGACCTTTCTCCTGACAACTGAGGCAAAGTCATTCCGCACATGCAGAAAGATAATGCTAGATTTTTGGACTGTGCCTCTTCAGACTACAGGTAGGGGCTCCTATTTTTGGATACTTTCCTCATCCAGTAATCTTTTTCCAAGGAGTAAACTAGCACATGCAAAGGAATGGTCACAGAAGACCTTTCTGTCTGATAGGTTAGATTACCTGAGTAAAGGGAAGTACCGGGTTTGTATAACTCCTGCAAAGTCCTGATATGTAGGATGCATTTGCTGAGTGTGGGTCTCCACAGGAGTAAGAAATAATAATGTGAGATGTTTAAAAGGAGCTTTAGAAGTACAATGGAAACAATGAACAGCCTCAGGGGCAGCCACTAAAAATGCTGTGTCTACATAAATACATATCACAATAATTTATTTTTAGGAATTATGGATGTGTTAAGAAGAGAACCAATGAACCTTTAACAGAATTCTGTGCACCTCATCAACATACAGTTACCAAGAGACTTTGATGGGAGTCATGACCATCAAAAGCACCATAAAACCAATATACACCTCTACTGTAGATAAACCTTTTTGTAAGTCTTTGTTGACTGAAGTTGCCAAATGAATAAACCTAAGCATGTGTTCTCAATTCCTGAGTTGGTAATCGGAGCCAATGAACATAAAGGACCAAAGACAATTCTGCACTCTTTGTCTCCATTGCTGTTATTCTAAGTAGTATTGAGTTTGTGTCTCACTGATTGGCACATCATCATCATCATTATTTTTATTATTATTATTATGACTGTGACAATACTATTACATTACATTTATAATCTGCCTCTCTTTCTCTTGCAAGAAACCCAAGGCTCGTCTCCATTTTATTCTCACAAGAACAAACCTACAAAGTAGTTTGGACTGAGGGTCTGTAACAGGCCCAATTCATGCAGTGAGTTCCATGGCTGAGTGGGAACTAGAACCCTGATCTTCCAGGTCCCACTTTAACACTTCAACACTGCCACACCAGCCTATGACAGTATAGGTTCCATTGCCCCATAAAATCCCTTCCAATTTTGATGTTCTTTTCCTGCAGATTATCTTTGAGGGTGTCCGTGGAACAGGCTCAGAGGGAGATATCGCCATTGATGATGTCACACTAAAAAAGGGTGACTGTCCAAGGAAGCCAGTTGTCCCAAATAAAGGTGAGCTGCGTCTTCAGAGTAGCATATATAAAATTAGCCATTTGAGTGGGGTGGTTTAACCTGGAGTCGTGCACTGAGCAAGGGCTTGGACCCAGTGGCCTTCTTGGCCCTTCCAACTCTATTTTCCCTTATTCTGTGGTTCTATGAATTGAATCCACAATCCAAGGGAAATGTTGGGAAAGCTTTACACATTAGCACAAGTATGTGCTTATTGCGTGTGTCCCTCCCTCGTTAGTGATTCATGATTGACTAAGGCATGCATACCTGCCTCCCTTGAAGTACCCTACTGTGTCAGGGTGACATCAGAAATAGAGATAATATTTCTAGGGTGACCCACCACAGCAAAAACTGGGAAACCTGCCTCACAGTCCCCAAATTTTTAACCACTTTGCAACATGGAAGGTTCATTATTCCTCAGAAACTTTCCCACAAACCAATTGAATTGGGGGCGTGGGGGGATAGAACCACCCACACTCACCTGTGAGATAAACAGTAATCATGGCAGTAGCCAAAGGACACAAGCTAGAAATCTCTTTGTTATTGTTGTTAACCTTTATTGATTTTAATATATAGACTGAGGCAGAAATAACTTCTAAAATTATGAAGAAATCTTCCCAGTGTAAATCTGCCTGAAATCACTCTCCTACCCCCATGACAATCACCACCCCACCCATGGCCGAGAGGAAGCTAGTTTTTCATTAACGCTTATTGACATGTAACATTTCAATGAGACTTAGTTGAAAGGAAACGCATTTAGGGCTCTGGTAAGCGGAACTCAATTAGATGCTTTTATTAAAGTATGCTTAACGTATGGGGGGGACAATAACTCGATTGTAAAGCACATGCTTTACCTGCAGACCGTCCCAGGATCAATCCCTGGCATCTTTGGTTTTAAGAAAAGATTCAGGCAGTAGGAAAGACCACTGCAGTCTGATAGCCCAAGGAGATACTGCCATCAGCAGAGACCTCAACTGAGCTAGGTGGACAAAAAGCCTGCCTCGGCATACGGCAGCTTCCTGTGATCGTCCATTGAAAAAATCTGGCTATTTTGAGACACACCTGTGTTCCATTTCTCAAGGCTTGCATAGGTCTTTCGCCAGCACTTCCATCGTACAGCTGCTACCCTAGTATGATCCATCCCACCCTTTAGACTATCCCTCCATCCCAGGAAAATTAGAATGAGAACTAATCCTTCTCTCTTTCTTGTCCTACAGCGGTTGTCCTTCCAGGAAATGATGCCACCACCCAACACAAATCTTCCATCTGTGGACCGCTACTTTTCTTCCTTTATGTACTGCTCAGATGATAGCAAGCGAACACTCCTGCCGTCTAACTGAGACATTCCTCCTCCTTTCCTACTTGGTCACCTCTGCTCCTCTTCCTCCCCCTCCTCACTGGCACACCAAAGTGTCCATATATTACCAAAGACTAACAAGCATGACCACACAAAGGGGATCCTGCTCAGAACCTGAAGGATTCCTGGAGGAAGTCATAATGTCTAAAAATGAAACAGATGTTGATAAAACAAAAACCACATGAGAAAGAGGGAGGAAGAAATGGAAAGAAGAGATGCAAATATTGGAATGAAAGGCAAAGAAGAGAATGAAAAAGATATTTAAAAGGATAAATGAAAGGTGGAAAACCACGTTTCCCTGGGAACAGTGGACGGGACTTCCTCAGGGAAGTGGGGACTTTTGTTTTAAACAAAAACAAAATATATTAAAGCACAAATTTCTACCAGAACTGTTACCTTCCTTGACTGCAGAGCCACAGTTTAGGAGACATTCTAGCACAGCATTCCCCTTCTGGATCTCTGTGTTACAACCTTCCCTGACTGGCTCTGTCTGCCACCTGTCTGCTGCAGCATCACCTCACCCTTCCAAAACAGCATCTTACTCGTCTCCATCAGGGGCTACTCCCTCCCCACCTACTGGTGACCATAGACCCCACTGCATGTGCTTCAGAGTCTTCATATGCATTTTCAAGACTCTCATGTATTTACTTACCCATGTGCAATTTGCTTTGACCCATCCTTCACACCTTTGTGCCCCCAACCTGAGCTCAACCAAGCAGAGACGCAGCCCCGTTGCAGATGGTGGAGATGATGGAGAAACCTGGGACAGACATAAGCTGCAGGATCAGCTAGTGGCAACCTCCACCCTCTCTTTTTCCCCTGCACAAGCTGCTCCACTCTCTCCCTTTGTACTCATTTCTTTTCACCATCACAGAGGCAGATTGTCAAGCCAGCACAGGGACTAAAAGAAAAGGCCTCTTGGTTGGGGACCAAGGCAAAGTGGCTGAATGGTGGCATTACAGTCAGTCAATGTCAAAGCTACAGAAGCCTTAAGGCAAGGATCTCTGCTTTTTGTTGCTGTTGTCACTGTTAATTTATCTATCCCCTCCCACCCAATTTCCTTTTGTAGCTACCCACTACAAACTTTTTTTTAAACTGCAGGGAAAAGCATATACTACCTTTACCCTTCTCCTAAGCCCTCCTTAGTTTAGTTTACCCCATGGTATCTGAAATCGCAATAGCCCTTGTTAATTGTGGCACCTTACCCTTGGTATCTCCGTGATTGCAGGGTCCTGGTAACATGGTGCTTGATTTACTACTCAAGGATGTGATGGCTGTATCTCTGTTGCATGATGGGGTGGAAGACAGGTGGAGCCTCAAGCTGGGCGATGAGAAGAGAAAACAGAAAATGAATCAGGCAAACCCATAGGAAATCGGATAGGCAGATCTCTTGCTTCATCAGAAGAAAATATTCAGACTTGAAAGTGAAATGGAATGTAACTAAATGATGCTTTCATATATGTCACCCTGGCACTGGGAGGGAATAAGTGATCTTAGGGAAGCACATTTGTTATTCCCAAGCCTGAGTTCAACCATATTGAGTCCATATTATTATTAGGGCCAACTGTTCCTTTAATGAAATGGTCGTCTTAGTATGAACAAGGTAGTTTGTTACATCGGTGAACTGTTCTTGTCAAATACTACTTTGCTTCTATGATCAACTGCATGAGGAAAGGGGTTTCAGTACACGTGCAATACAAGTGCAGTACTTCTAGTTTGTGGATTGCATTTGCATTCTGGGAGCAACATAGACTTACTTATTTTAGATATAAGAACCTGACCATTCTCCCAACCTTCTTCAGTGGGTTCTCAACACATTTGGGCTTCCCCAACTGATAGCATACATACTTGGAGGAGGATTAAAATAATCCAGAAAATGCTCGTTGTTTTGGAGACCCCAGTATCTGACAGTTTATTAGTCATACCACCAAAAGAAAAAGTGTGCTAAATTAGTGGTTGCAGGGCTGGATTTAAGGAAGCTACGGAATTGGGTTCCAGGCAGTTCAAAGTGTGTAGATGTGGCTGGAAGAGTATGGTATTTCCCAATGTGCCACTTCTGTTTCTTCTGATGCAGCAGAAAACATAATGGCTGTTCTCATCTGAAGATAAGGGAAGAGTGTCCATGGTCCTACTTGCAGGAAGATTTAAGTTTCTGGTAGCCTGCGGAATGGGGCGGACATAATTTTACCACTGATACAGAACATTTGAGAATGCAGGCAAGCAGTGATGTATGGGGGTGCAGGGTGATATTTCTGTGGCTTTTCCTGTGTGTGTGGATGGTGGCAGAGGAGAAAGGATGGTTTATAGGTACCCTGAACTTGGTTCAGCAAGTTCTCATATTTATTCTGCATCCAATTATATGCCTTTTTCATCCCTGAAGCCCTGGTTCTTTATTCTTGCTACTCCAAAGAGGTAAGCTCTAGAATTGATTGTTGTCTAGCATTTGCAAATCTAGGAACAGCTCTGGCAACAAACAAGCTAAAAGAAGGACACTGATCCTAGATTATCATGGAGATATAGCTTAAAATTGGGAGAAGGGAGAACGCAGAAAATCAAAGGCCTTCATCATTGGCCCTGTTTTCCCCTCTAAAAGAGTGGAGTGGACACTGTCTTGCCCTTCCTTCCTTCCTTTCCAATTTCAGAGCCATGGAGGGTATTGTCTGTAGGAAGTGGGATGCACTCCTTTTAGACATGTGGTTAGATGTTAACCTCATCCAGCTATTCAGCCATCTGCTAAAACATTCTGGCAACCAGGAGACACAGCACAGCTGCTCAAAAGCTCTTCACAAGTGTCCCTGCTACAGAGACTACACAGGGTTAATACTAGCATCCTCAGCCCTCTTTCCCCCTAGATTACTGAGGTTTTGCATCCATCTGTATTATTATCAGGATCCTAGTTCCTTGTTTCAAAGCTTTCCTACACAAGGCTGTTAATTGCTGTATCTGCTTTGAATTTCATCACAGTACCAAGATCCAAGCTCTACATAGAAATTTGCCTTTCCTGATTTTCCATTACATGTCCTCTAGGTGGCACTGTGCTTTAGAATAATAATACACAAGTAGGAAAATATGTTTTCTTTTGCTTTCAGAAAGAATACCCCATTTTTTTCTGTTCTACTAAGAAAGAAAGAAACCAGGAAAGTGTTACTTTAAAAACAGAAGCAAGGCTCTTATGGATAGGATTTGCCCTCTGTGTAATGGACAAATTTGTTCTGTACTTGAGCCTTGTAAATTATGTTACTCTCTGCAGGACAGGCCAAAAGAAGAAATTGAACTTCCAAATTAGAGAGAAGCAACCAAGGTCTTAGTTCTGATTTCTAATCAGGATCATCTTTGTATTCTCAGCAGAGATGCAGCTCCTGCTCACATTGGAACAAGCACTTATACATGTTGGCTCAGAGTAAGAAACACTACATATAGTGGATCTTACTTCTGAGTAGATGTGCACAGGAATGCACTGTTAGAGACCACATTTATTTTTTTGACTGAGTGGGCTGGGGTAGAAAACATTCTGAGGTGCTCTGAGTACTGGAAAAGTTATGTCACAAATGAGTTTTACTGGTGTTAGGTGGAATAAGACTGTGAGAGTGACAGTACGGAATGAGAACAGAAACAAAATGCAAATCCTGTGCCACTGTTGCCATCCTGTCTCTTTTCTGCATCTCGTTTATGGTTTGAGCATCCACCAGTGTGAGAATATGTAAGGATCAATGAAGTGCCTGTCTGTGTATAGGGATACAGTAGATTTCTTGGAGGGACTGATCAAGTACTCAGCTACCATTTGCTCAGGTATCTACCAATGAGATACCGGCCTTTTGGTCATCACAGACATCTCAGGGAGCCTCATTTACCAATGCCCTTCCTTTCTCCATTCTCCCTCCCTCCTGTGCCCTAGAAGCAGCAGGCGCTGTTTCCTTAGGGAGAATTGCTCTCAAGTGCCTTGACCTGTCAAAAGCCTGAAGGCTAAAATGAAAGAGTGTGTGTCACTGTCCGAATTGCTAAGAGCATGAAAGGCACTCACACAGTACTGAAGATGCCTCAGTTATGCAGGGCAGTACCAGCTCTAAGCCCTGGGCCAAAACAGCTCATATTGGAAGGAAAGCTGATTTGGGTTGTGTTAGCACTTGATAGCACTGGGCTTCAGAATTTGGCCCAGGTATTTTTCAGCATTTTGGGTAGTGGGTGCAAACGCCTCTGAATATGTGGATGACTCTGCACTGGGCATGTTCCCAGATATTTCCAGGTTGTGGGCTTACTTTAAAAGACATGCTAGCTGAGGGTTTTTGCTCGTTCTACTTTCTCCTTGTCTCTATACAGAAAGGAAAGGCTTGCTGGTTCTCCAAGCCTGGCAGCATTCCCTCTCTCATGTGGGAGAGAATGCCCCATGGAAGCAGCGCTGTGTCACGATGTGGCACCAGTCCCTGGGGTATTCTTCTGGATGGCTGCTTCCCATTGGTGAAAAACCCATGGCCACCTTCTCTTTAAAGGTAAGCCCAGCTAAAAGATCTGTGAATTCCACAACAACCCAAAATCAGCAGTATTCCATCCCCCCCACCTTCTCAAGAGAACAAATGATCCCATGGGGGGGTGGTAGATTTCACCCCCAGACCTACTTGAACCTTTAGTCAATGCCAGGCACTTCCAGTGAAGGTTATTAGCTCTTTGGGAATCAAAAGCTACTTATTGCCTAATGGCTGTCAGGTGTTGTGCTGTTCAGACTACATATAAAATTATTGTTCTGATCTATCAAAATGGTCCATTTAATGAGTGCAAGCAGCTCAGAATCTGATTGCCTAGCCACACAAGCTTTTGTAGATGTAAGTGCATTCTTTGCCATCTTAAAAGGGGGCTGCGGCTTCAAATTGGTTGTACTGTTTTGTAATTAACCTTCTGTAATTGTGATGCAGTTATTACATAAGACATTCCTTCCGTCCAAAAGGAAAGATACATTGCTGCATCTCAGCAATGAATGGGGAAATGAGTAGAAGTAATGGCTCGATCCATCATGGGAGGTTCAACAGGAATCTTAGATACTGTTCCGTTCATCTTGTAGGAGGAGATGCAGTAAAGAAAAGAGTGTAATTGAATTAAGACATAATCAAACGCCTTTTGAAGGAGTGCTCCAAATATCCTATGCTGTGTGAGCAGACTCCTGGCAAAGCAGAGGTGGCCATAATGGCACCATTACAGGGCAGACTTACATAGACACCCCCCAAGCTGAATTTAAGCACCAGTCACACCTTACGGAAGGGGTGGGGAGTCTTTAGGCTAGCAGGATCTATGTCGTTCTTCCTCCAGAATCCCGAGGTCCACCAGCTACAGTCAGGTTCAACAGAGTGGCTCAGGAAAGCAAGC